ATTTTATGTACACATTTTAGAATTAGTCTGATTCAAGGAGAATCAGAAGGCTGAATCCCGACTGACAGAGGAGGAGTTGGGGATGGAGGAGGGTAATTAGCTATTGAGCAATGCGAAAACTGCTGATAATACTGAAGGACCTTATATATGAATGCTTAGATAGGTGTCGTATTCCCATAGGTAGATGGGATCAGCTGAGAGTCAGCTGATGCGAGCTTGACTAACGTGACCTGCCAGAACTAACGCTACACTTGATTTACTTACATATGATATAATCTAAAAAATAAAAAGAATGTGTGTTTTTCATAAAACTTTCCCTACACTTGTCTGCCATAAAAGTCCTCTGATGGTCTTCTCATTAACATTAGTAAAAATGATGGCTTTTACTTTCATTTAGATTCATATAGGTTCATAGGAATTCATTTTTGGTATCGATGAAGGGGTATTTGAGACTTACTGAAGGAGTTATGGTGGTATCTGAGAGAAAAAAAAAGATTGTAAAACACTGTAATATCTATTTTAAGGACAGAGTCATAATGTTAGTAAGTGAAATTTTAGCAGCTGGGATAACTAAAAGGAAGGGCAGGCACTGGAAAATGAGTGACCTGAGGAGAGGGATGATGCTAGAATAATTAAAGAGCATGAAGATGGGAGGCGGGAGAGAGGAGCAGAGGAGGAGTGTGTGGAGCTGTAGAGTGTATACCACAAGACAATGGAACCTGTGATCTTTAACGGACATTCGATCCACTCAGGCCACAGGCTCACATTACCGCTGGGGTTGCCTGCTACATGTCTGTTACACTCTCTCTCTCATCCAACAGCATACATACACAAAAGCCCGTACACACTCTTTGAAGGATGCCCACTCACACAGGCCTTTCCTCTTGGATGAATACCCCTTTTTACCTTCCCTACCAACACACAAAGTAAAGCAATAAAGTGTAGCCTACTGCATTTCATATACTTGTACTGTAGATCCTATCTCATATTTGACACTAACAAATAATTAATGATCTAATTTGGGTTTCCTTCCAGTGACATTTAACAAGCTTATCCATAACAAACACAAGGTACAGTATAAAACACCAATGAAGGCCACAATTCCACAAAACACAAATACACTGAAAAAAAGGTGTAGGATTTACTTTAAAACTTTTTTCACTCATATTTTGCAGGTAAATTTCACAAATAATTACAAGCCAAGTGCATGTAATACATTGAATTAAAATGTTAAAAGAGAAATTGTATTTTCTGGTACATGTGCTCCAATCTTTGTTTTATTTACAGATAAAAAAAAAAAAATCAAATGAAATCAACAAATAAAAATGAATCATTTTAAATCCTACACGTAAATGTACACATTACAACATTATAATGTAGATTACGAGAAAAAAATTCATTTTGAGACTTGCTAAAGATTATATTTAGCAATATTATTAAATTATTAGTGTTTTAAATTACTAGCTTAGTAAGCATTTGCCTATATGATGGCAAAGATTATCTAAATATAAAAATTGAGAAAATCACAATGCACAATTACATATATCCAAAAAAAGCAAAAAAAAAAAAAAAAAAACCTCTTGGATGATAAGCAATATTGGCAATAAGCAATATAAAATAATATAGGATGATAAGCAATATGTTTCCAATATATTGTGCATCCCTAGTTATGTCTGTGCATACTACAAAAAACTAAAGTCTGGGGCAGAAAAACAGATTTTGCTGCCTGTCTGAACAAGGCCTGCTTTTTCCCTTGGGATGAGCTGCAACACTCACATACATGCACAAAATTAATGTGATTTTAATGTGCGTGTGACATATGGGTAATTCTATAGGCCACCCCTTTCAGGTAAATCTTCCATCTGACAGACGTCACACCTGAATACTTACACTACACCACTGCTCTACCGTCCTCCCAATTACTGATGGACCTCTATTAACCTAATTAGAGAGAGAGCGAGAGAGAGAGAGAGAGAGAGAGAGAGAGAAGCCTGAGCAGGGCTTGGGCGAAAATTATTAAAAGACCTGCTGGAATTTACTGATAATCATGGTTATTAATCCTCTCTCTTATGAGCAATGTGGTATTGCATTACTGTAGTTGTGGCTGTGGAAAAACTATTATTTTTTATTTATTTTTATTATTATTAATTATTTTTTTTATTAAGTCATGTGTTTGGCTGTGAGAGGCTTGTGTTTGCCGCAGAGAGAAGTGTCTGTCTTAAAAATGTTGTCATTGTTCTAAATGAGATGCACTCATTAGGTGACATCCAAGCTCATACTTGGTCAGACTAAGGCAGAAGCATCAGACAGGCTGATTGATAGGTGCTCCTAATGATTAGTCCCAAGGGACCCAAACAAACTGTCATGTAATGAGATGCTGTGAAATTCAGAAGTCAACAAACCCATGAACCTTTGCAATACATGCCACCTGCCAAATGGAAACGAGCACTAAAAGCAGGCTGGAAAGCAAGTAATGCCACAAAATTCTAAATGCAATGGCTACTGTATTGGCTACTGTACTCTACTGATAAGTACTGGAGAGCAACTAACTAAAAGTAGCAACAATACTAGCTAACTTTGATACCTTTTTTTTCAGCAGATGGTTTTATAGGTCTAATAGGTGTAGTGCAGTTTTTCCAGTAATTTTTTTACTTTACCCAAAGAGTAGCAGTGTAATGAGAATAAACTCTGAACTGGAGGAATAAACAAACGCGCTCACCTAAACAGCCCTCTCAACCATATATCACTGGAAAGTCTGATTTATTATTGTGAATTGATTTGTCTTAAACAGTCCTCTCTCTTCTTTGTATAGTGCTGAAAAGTGGAATTCATTTTAGTGAATTAGTTCATCCTAAGTAGTCCCATCTCATATGTAGTGTTGGAAAGTCTGAATCATTATTGTAAATTGATTTGTCCTAAATGGTCCTCTCTCCAAATAATAACAGAAAACTTTTTATGCATTTTATGCATGTTTCTTTACACAACAATGGCATTTGGGGGCCTGAAAATGCAAACTTGAAAACGAGTTTCAAAGTGTACATTTTTGAGAACGATACCATTATCATCTCTGTGTGAACTACAAAAACACGAATTTGTGAAAACGGTGTTAAGTTTATGCATATTACATGTTCAGTCTAGAGGTATGTGCACATGTGTGACTTCACCAACTACTGGCCTGGCATGAATAATACAGCGTTTTTAGTCATTTTAGTGGATCTGTGTGAACAACTATCGTTTTGACAACATTTTTGCCTTTATGTGACAACTTTTCAAAAACGCAAAGGAAAAATCTTTCTGTTTAGTTGTCATGTAAACTTACCCTTTGTGTACTAACATTTGTGGTTTTAGAAAGTCCAGTTAATCTATTGAATCAGTTCATTCAGATGGTTAATGTAAATGTACAGATTTTCAAGTTTAATACTGTTAATTGTACCTAATTGATTGTTCATTCATTCAAAATCACTCATTGTGTTTGTGCCATATTTAGTAAAGTTATACAGTGGGTACGGAAAAGAATCACCCCCTTATCAAATTTTGTTGCTTTACAGTCTGAAATGAAGAGAGATACAGTTTTTGTTTTATCCAGCTGTATTTATTCAGTGCAACTTATAACATCCAAGAGAAAGATATAACACCAACATTTCAGAAAAAAATTAAAAAACCAGAATCACCGAGTTGGAAAAAGGATCACCCCCTCCTAAAATTGACTTGTAAACTTAATCAGGTGTAGCTAATCACCTTCTCAATGGCACACAAAGCCATTTGACTTTCAACTGTGATCTGCTGTGGTCATTTTGATTAGCTCAGCATGAAAAGAGCTTTCCTGGAGCATTTCAGTCCTTGGTAGTGCAACTGAAGCAAACAATCAACTATGGGTGGCAAGGCACTGTCAAAAGATCTCCGGAATAAAGTTGTGGACAGGCACAAATCAGGAGATGGATAGAAATTTTTTTCAAAGGCTTTATTAATGCCTAAAAGCACAGTGAAGTCTATTATTAAGAAGTGGAAGGTATTTGTTACAACACAGACCCTCCCTAGATCAGGACGTCGCTCCAAACTGGATGAAAGAGTCTGGAGGAAACTGGTCAGAAAGGCGACCAAGAGGCCTACAGCAACTCTGAAGCAGTTGCAGGAATTTATGACAAAGAGAGGTCATTGTGTGCATGTGAAAAGAATATCACAAATTCTCCACAAATGTGGCTTGTATGGGAGAGTTGCAAGAAAAAAAAACACTCCTCCTTTGCCAAACACACCTTGAAGATTGTGAGGCAGATGAGACTACAATTGAGTTATTTGGCCTCAACACCAAACGATATGTCTGGCGGAAATCCAATAAAGCTTACCATCAAATAAAAGCATTCCTACAGTAAAGCATGGAGGTGGTAATATCCTGTTATTTCTCTGCAGCAGCGACTGGAGCACTGGTCAGGATAGAAAGAAAACTGGATGGGGCAAAATACCGTCAAAATCTTGAGGAAAATCTGCTGCCCTCTGCCATAAAGTTGTCAATGAGAATAAGGTTTACCTTCCAGCATGACAATGACCCAAAGCACACAGCAAAACTGAGCACACAGTGGTTGAAAGAGACAAAGGTGAATATCCTTGCATGGACTAGTCAGAGCCCAGACTTAAACCCCATCGAATCTGTGGAATGACTTGAAGACTGCAGTCCACAAATCAAATTAAACTGAACTTGAGCAGTTCTACAAAGATGAGTGGGCCAATATTGCAAAGTCTAGATGTGCAAAGTTAGTAGAGACAGAGACATATCCCAACAGACTTAAGGGTGTAACTGAAGCAAAAGGTGATTCAACAAAATACTGACTCAAGGGGGTGATCCTTTTCCCAACTCAGTGATTCTGTTTTTTGTTTTTTTTTCTGACATGTTGGTGTTATATCTTTCACTTGGATGTTATAAGTTGCACTGAGTAAATACAGCTGGATAAAACAAAAACTGTGTCCGTCTTCATTTCAGGATGCAAAGCCACCAAATGTGATTATTTTTAAGGGGGCTGATTCTTTACTATACCCACTGTATATAATCTTTGGAGCCTACTTCAGTAATTTGAAGTAGCTACACTGCAGTCTGCTGTTTTGAAAATGTACTGCAAAGAGTTAACGTGGCAAATTGTTTTTTAAATTATTATTTTTTTATTTTTTTAAATATATTTCCCCCTTAACTGTTTGCAGTTCAAAACTGTTACATTTTTAAAACAGTAGCTTGACTGTAGTGTACTTCAAATTATTAAGCTTTTAGCTTGGCAAGCTACACTTTCAAAGTATCTTCCCCAGTAAGAAAGTGCTCTGTGGCGACTGTGAATAAAACCTACAGTGTCTCCCTTAAACAAGGTCAACTGGATGATTTTTCTGATCAATGGAGCAATAAAAATGTAATAATAGCAAAATCACATCTCTTATTAGTGTGCTCTCCTCACAGTTTCTTCAATGAACTGCATTCCATTTTTGCTCCTATAGATGTCCCTCCAGGCTACTTGTGGTTTGCCCTTGTTTCCTGATGTTACTGAAAAAAACGTGTAACTATCAGTGGATGAAAATGTAAAGAATGAGGATGAGAAAGTGACTCAATGAATAAGGCTTTGTTCACATTTCTCATGTTCAGCTCTCAAACACTAGACTGTTAGACTGTTGCACTTGTGCGGACAGGTGGTTCATGGCTCTTATGTCTTTAAGATGTTCTTGTTCCCACAAGATCATAGTTACAGCTCTCACTGTTAACGCATTGCCCTAACATGACTGAATTATCTGATTCCTAAAATAACTGAGCGGACACATCATAGGTATTTCATTTAATAGATATTCTTTAACATTTTTTTAAATAAATAATAATTGTAGGACTCATTACTCATTTTGGAGAATTTATACATTGTAATATTAATATGTAATATCAATAATCTTCTTTTTCTATACAATGAAGTGAATGATTACAGAGTCACATTTGGAACAACATGAGGGTGAGTAAATGATGACGCAATTTAATTTTGGGAGTGGACTGTCCCTTTAAGAATAGTTTCAGTATTTTTTTTTTTTATTTAGTGGCGGTGTTCGTTTTTCCAGTGTATGTATGTAATCGTGGAACAAGAAGCTTGTTCTCTGTCTCTCCATGAAGTGTGAATCATTTCCTTTCCTTGACAGCTGACCAGGCTGTCAGCACTTGAAGGCAACGGTGAACAAGTAGTCTCGAGCTCTCTAGGTTATCAGACAGCTCCCAATATGTCTGTCTTATCTCTCTATACATAATTAACGCTGTTCTGGTGGCCGTGTCGCCGCTGACACATTGAGGTCGTGCTTCGTCCGGTTAAGGATCGAGTGCATTTCCCCCAAACTCCCGTAAGGTCGACTGCAGGGTTTATCACAGCAAACGGCGCATATTAAGCAGCGAGTCCATTCACCTCAAGCGGAGGATTTGCGGCAGAAGAAGCGCGCGTACGCTCCGAGAAGACGCTCTGAATTAATAAATACCAGGTTTCTGATTTCTTCTTTGGTGTAAAGGGAGAAGGGCTTGCGTTACCTCTATAGGGAATCGGATCGGCTACTTTAAGTCACCGGACAAGCCTACGCTCGCGCGTAAGGACTGAGTCTGAAATATTGACACAGAGTAGGGAGGATTAAACGGAAAGTGGCCCATTTGCATTGGCCACGAAAGCTTATTTATAGAACCCTGTTAACTTGATGCCAAAGTTCCACAATTCAAGCTGATTTCAAATGGTCTCCAAAGCCACTCTAAAACCAGCTAACAGACCAGTTTGACCAGCTGAAAAAGCACTCTAAACTTCCTTAAAACTAGCAAACAGGACAGGTTGAGACTGAGAAACCAACTAAAACTAGAAAACGCCCTTTTTTCAGCAGGGATATCAAAACAAAACAAGTTAAATAAATGAAGAATATCCTAAACACAGAAACCCCTAGTTAAAATTGTTATGCTAATAGGCTACCCAGAAGAAAACATCTAATTTTATTCTAAACCGACAAAATCTCATCAAATAAACAATAGAGTTTGTCCTTCAAACCTCTTAGGATCAAATTGGAATGCTTACCTAGTTTTGTAACGAAACCTTTCTTCTGCTGATTCTTGCCTCTTCTAACTTAAGCCAGTACAATGCCTATAAAAATGCCTCTTCTGCGAATTCCAATCTTCCCAAGTAGCTTTTTTTCCCCATCAAATCACTGGGCGTATACCCAGAACTTTATGGGTGGGGAAAACAGGATATATTACTCAAGAGGGGTGTTGTGTGGACATAACTCCCCTGAAAGTGTATTGTCATAACCACGCTGGAAAATGAGGTGAGAGGTGAGAAGAGGTTTAGGAAGTGAATAACATCACTTAAACTTTTTTTTTCTCTAACTATCTACAGCCATTTTCTGCTATCTGATTTACTGCAGTGGGTTCTGTGCCAACTGCATGGCCCGTGTCTGAATGACCTGTGAGTGAGTGTGTCTATCACAAGTAGGAGCATGTATTTGATTGTTGCACAAAGGCTTCCTGAGACTCATGGTGAGATCATCATCCAGCCACACCTTGAGGGCTTAGTCAGATACATTTTTCCAAGTTTCCAGCCAACATGCTTTGCCACATTCATCAAAATATAAGTTTAAGAAGTCTTCTTTACTATATAGCTTTCTTTCTGCAGTATTAAGATATGTTTGTGCATACGTGAGGGAGGGAGAGAGAAAGAATGCAGCTATGTGAGCGAGAAAGCTGTCTGCTGCAAGGCGCACAGCATACCAGAACACAATTATCAGGAACATGTGCTTTCAAATTACCAAGACAAAACCCTCACAGTCCAGTGATTCTCCTCCACCCTGTTCGCTAAGCCAACAGTCTCTGTGTGTGGTTGATACTATGCAACATTAATGTTTGCCTTTGAGTAGCATTGTTTGCCATACAATACAACAGGCTTTCTGGCTGTGAGTGTCATTAAAACTTTACTCACAAAGCAAAAGTTCAACAGTTTATAAAGTCAAAACTATAAAATAAACATTAAATAGGTCAAATAAAAGTATATATATATGTGTGTGTATATATACGCAGTATATATACACACACAATGCATTTTAATTTAATGTAAATATTTCTGTTGAGGCCCTCTACTGGCTGAATCTACCAAAATATTGCAATTTAAAAACATGGGTAGCCACTATGGGTATAGTATTTTGGGACGAGATGAGTCTTGACAGGTATAAAATATTCTTCTGGATATAAAATCTAGCACAGTGTATCAGGCAAACACTGTTAAAACCATGATTAGCACACGTTGTCAAACAGGACACACCTACAATCCTAGCCTAAATCCTAATTCTTCCTCTAGTTCCTGTATCGCATTGTACTTGAAAAAATGTAATAATAGTGATAATAATTATACAACATAACCTGTAAGTATATTTCGATGGCAAACTTTTATGTAATCGTATATTTATCTTTTATTAGGCAATTGTTTAGTTAATATTTTCTCCCAGTTTTCAAGGTAGTAAAGAAGGTTGCTCAACTTCATAGGCGTAACTTCTGACGTTTCTATGCCAGAAAACGTATTGTGCAAGAGCAGATGTGAGAAGCTCTTCTTTAAAGATTGATGGTTTTAGAAATGTATTGCAATCAGCTTTAGTCTCTGATGACATCATGACAGTGATTGATTGACAAAACAAAACAAGAATACTGCCCTGCTAGTATTATGTATGCAAATAGGATTTTGTATTTTATTTATTTATTTGTTTTTTTTTTACAAGCAACATATATTTAACAAAAAATCATTGATTTATAGTAGTTTTGCCGACAGACTTTTTTTTTGGAGGGCTCTGAACAGCTTGAATTAATATTGTTTGTGTTGTCAGCTGCAAGAGTGATCAGTCACATGGCATTTATGACAAAGTGCCAGTTAATCAAAAACAGCTGTTGATGTTGTTTTAATCACGGTTATTGAATATTTAAACTATGTATGAGAGAGAGAGAGAGAGAGAGAGAGAGAGAGAGAACACAAACCTCTCTGTGTAAGAGCGCCCTCTAGTAATTGAATGCAGGTATTGCCAGATTTACATCCAAAACCAAAAGTCTTGCAGGGCATCAATTGTAGCTTGTACATACACCAGCATGGTAGTTCATACATCATCATCATCATTATTACTATTACTGAGAAGTTTTCTTGCTGAGGCATTGCAGTAAAACAGCAAATCAACAGTATTGTAAGCTTGTATCCAAAACTAATTTCGAGAATTTAAACACATTTTGAGAGGTAGTGTAAAAATGGAAGTATAAACAAACATTCATAATGGGAATGGGAACTGTTTTCTATTTTGAAGTTACTATTAGCACCAACAGTGGGCTGTGTGCTTTTACACTTGAGTGTTTGTGAATTCACGTGTTTAACATATATGCACTTTGTGTAGCACAATGTAAATTTATGTGCAAATGTTGAAAAAGATTGTGATAAGTATAATTTATTCATTTTATGAATTTAATTATTAAGTTTAATGATTAGGATTAAAATCATACAGAGACAAATTTTAAAAAGCATGAACATATGGAGTCAACAAGTTACTCCATCCTGATAAATGAACAATGATAATAATCACATTTCAAAATGTAACGCATTTTTTTTTAAAGAAATGGAGTAATAACATTCATTGTTCCTTGACTGTCAACTGTCAACCAGTTTAGCGAAGTTTCAAGAAGCTTCCTGTAAAACAATTCAGATATTATTTCAATTGTAGTTTAACACCTGTAACATGATTCTTTCTTGAAGCATCAGTTTAGATGTTTGTGATATTCAAGTCATTTTGTATCTTTCTAAGCTCAGCATCATTCAGACTTGTGCCAATAACCTACTCACCGTGACTTCCTCTGCAATGTTCCTCCTTAGACGATCCCAGAAATGCACTCTGTCACCTTCATCCTCTGGCCAGTCCAGATATGTACGCAATCTCACCAGTCTGGCCAAACTATGGAAAGGAATGATAAAAGTATTTACACAATTTATAAAATGAGAAAATGAATACAATATTTGATTTAGTAAATTAACAACATCAACCATATCAGAGGATTATATATACATCATAAATGTGATGTATAAAAAAAAAATCAGATGACAGCTAGGATAAGTTTACACATATAATACAACATTGTTCAAAAGTTTGAGGTTGCTAAGATTTTTTTTTTTTTAATGTTTTTGAAGTCTCATATGCCAGCAAAGCTGCATTTATTTGATCAAAAATACAGTAAAAACAGCAACAATGTGAAGTATTCAATTAAAATAACTTTTTTAATTTGAATATAACTTCAAATGTAAAGTATTTTTATGATACTTCCTAAACGCATCTATAAATGTGCTGCAATTTCACAGTAAATGCACATTGTTCTTAAGGGGGGCATCGTCCGTCTTCCCCTACACTCTAAAAAATGCCGGGTTGTTTCAACCCAACTTTGGGTCAAATATGGAAATAACCCAGCTGTTGGGTTAAATTTTTACATTAAATTTTTAACCCAAAAGTTGGGTTAGTCCATATTTGACCCAAAGTTGGGTTGAAACAACCCAGCATTTTTTAGAGTGTAATTACCGATGGAAAGCAGAAAGCTCAAAAGGAGCGATGTGTTCGAGGAAGATGAGGATGAGATGGTGTTTCTGATCTTCCAGCTGCCGGTGTGTGGCCACTCGCATCTCCAGACTGCACCAGTCACTACGCAGATACCTGCGGCTGATCAAACAAACAGTGCACTGACTGCTGTAGATACTCTCGGTGATGTTGTCCATGATATCTTTACCAACCTAAAAGATGTTTCACAAGAAATTATTTTGCAGTGAGACTACATCTTGATGGATAACATAACCGATACTACTTATAAAAAGCTGTTACATCAACAACTCAACCTCAACTACTGATGCTGTTTTTTGTATTTAAATTCAGAAGATCAAACAGAACTTGACTTTTATAAACCTCACCTCAAAGTCTCTGTTGTGCAGACATAGCCTAAGTCTCGGGTTCCCTTGTTCCTCCAGTCGAGGATTCATCTCCCCCAGGACCCAGGCCTCATCTTGGCTACAGAAAGACAGAAAAGCATCATACTGCATCTCCTCTATCTCCCCATCAGCCCCCTCAACTCGTCTCCTCCTCCTGTGCCACTGCCTACCAAACCTCCTCTCCAGCCATCCTCTCAGGCGGAAGAAGAGGACCACGGAAGGCCAGCGAGCAAAGCGGTATCCTACGGCTGCCGACAGCAGAAGACAAACGCTGCCACTTGTAGCTACATAGCAGCAATTTGTTACTGCGCGTCAGTCTGACACAGCTTCTCCATGGTCGCCAAGAAGTTGAGTACCTGATAGTGCCAGACACATTTCTGCTTCTGCAAGTAGATAACCTTGACTTTTTCCGTGCTCTCTGCCCAGTCAAGAATCCAGACATTTTTACAAATCCACTCTGTCAAGAACAAACGTTGTTAGTGCTGGCAAAACTTCAAACACACCATCAGTCAGGACAAGAGGACTGTCACAGCTGCAGAGACGTCAGGTCTTTAAACATACTCTCGGTCAGGAAGCTCAGATGGCAGTTTACCAGCACTAGAGTCTGGAGTTTTGTTAGGTTCCAAAAGATGCTTCCGGCATCTGTATAGTTCGAAAAGCTCAGGTTGATGAGCTTGGGACCCTTGAGATGGTGCAGAGTACTGATTTTAGTGTTACTGAGAGGTGCTCTTTCAGCTCCTCCAGAGATTTCAAAAGACTCCAGGTTTCGGAAATAAGGTGCCATGAAGTCATTCTTGCATATGAAAAGGGAACTTCAGCTCTTGAACTGCTGTAAAAACATTATTATTACAGTCTGCAAAATCCAGTCTGTCTCCATTTAGCTCCAGAACAAACATTCCCTCAGGCTGTGATGTACGTCCCAGGTAAACAGTAGTTCCATAATGTGCATCAATACTTAGTTGCTGTATTTTCGGTGGAAATCCATAAAAAATCCTATTTATATGCAACTCATAAATATACTCCAGTCTACCCAGTGACAGTTCACGAAGCTCCCGCTGGTCCCAAAATGTTCCGTCCTCAATAGTCTCAATGATGTTATTATCAATAAGCAGGACCTCCAAAGCCTTAAGGGATCTGAAATCCTTCGCAGTAAGCTGTGAGATCTTGTTTGAGTCGAGTTTTTGAGGCGATGCAAACCACGAAATGTGTACAGCTGTATGGTTTTGATGGTATTAGAACTGAGGAAGAGCTGCTCGAGAAGAGGCATACAAGCAAACTGGTCTCTGCCAACTTCTGAAATTGAGTTTCCGGTGATGTCCAGCAAGGTTAAGGACCAGATAGTCCCATTCACTGCAACACAGAATGGAGCATCTGTCAACTTCATATAGGCCATTTGCAGTGCTTGAAAACCTCTGTTATCTGTCCAGAAACTAAAGTCCAGCTGGCCTACTTCTGATCTGCTGATGAATATCTTTGTCAAAGTTGTCCCACACTCCTATATGTCCTCTGTAGCCAATCTGTCTGTTGATGTAAAAATGAGGCTGAGGGCCTGAAGATTAAGGTTGGTGACGAGATGTCACAAATCTTTGAAGTTTGTTGAATATTTTCTTATTACAGTTCCTGTCAAACTCAACTCCTTGACTCTTCCAACCCCAGACTCCCAAATACTATCAAGTGACTCTCCTTTGAACTCCAAAGAAAGGCTGGAGAGGTTCTGGAACACAACTAGAGAGCTAGCTTGAATGATTTTGATACTGTTTCCTATTAGATAAAGGTTTTGAATCCCAGAGAGGACAGTCACAGGCCAAGTCTTCGATCCCCCTGGACATCCTTTGGCCTCAATTGTTGAAATCCCACTGTCTATCACACTCAGGTTCTTCAGATGGGACACTGCATCGGGAAGATAACAGAAAATATCACTAAGGTCCTGTGCACAAGTTCTGGTAATCTCTAGTCTGATTATGCTAACCAACGTATCAAATATAGTGCTGGATACATTGACTAACTTCAGATCTCTCAGTGTCAACTCCTCCAAATTAGTCAAACCAGCAAATGCGAGACTTTCCATGGTGACGGACCTACAAATTGCATCACTGAAAAGCACCGACAAATACTTCAGATTGAGGAGTCCTGAAAATGCACCAGATTGAACCCTCTCCAGTCTTTCCCCATGTATTTGAAGGACCTCCAAAGAAGGTAAGTGTGAAAAGGCATCAGCAGGAATACTTGAAATATCACCGAAGATACAAAGGGATCGAACTTCAAGGCCTACCTCTGACAGATCAGTGTGCAGGTCTGTAATATTGCAGTCGGCGTATGGACCCCTTCCTGGATAATGGTAGCAGTGTGGAGTCTTGGGCATGTCTCTGAGGAGATGCTCCTCGATGGTTGTGCAGCGTTTACTTATATAAGTAAAAATACCATTGCAGATACTTAAACCCAGTGCAAACCTCCACCAGAAGCACAAGCAATTGGAGTCATACAGACCTATTGTAGAGGTACTCTAGACAAATCTACTCCTATGCCTTCACTCTGCAAGTTTTTCATTCGCATTTAACCTCACACTGCACTTGTTCAGACTCTCACTTCCTCTTTAACTGTGAAACAGCACAGGTTTTCTGTTTTGAAAACATCTATCTCATAAGTCCTGCCTCTTTGCTGTGTGGTTGTTTTCTCACTGAACCACCAGTTTGTCTTAGTGATTCTTAAATAGGACATTTTTTACTGTTACATCAAACTGACTGAAGGAGAATAAAATACTAGGGGTGTAAATCAGATGGTTTGTCACGATACGATACGATACGATATCGATTCTCATACCCAGCGATACGATATTTGCCGATACCTCAAAAAATTATACGATACGATTACGATTCAATTTGATACAGGAGAATATCGATCGATATATCGATATTATGATAATATATACTTATTTTAAGCAACCATCTACATTTTTATTAACTCACAAATGCAACCAAAATATATAACATGAACATTTATCTGAAATTTTCACATCCTGTACCTCAATTGGGACATTCACAACAAAAAATAGGCCTACATATTTTTTATTTTTTTTAAATAATAAAGAAAATAAACAATTGGAAAAACAATTCTGGCTGCTACTATGGGCTCAGTGCTAAAAATATTTTCTACAGATACCCAAATTACAAGCAATAGCAGAAAATAAATACAATACAACAAAGACACAAGTTCAATAAACGGTGCTTTTCAGGTTTTTCAGCTCAATCTAAAATACATTTTCAGGTACGCTACAGAAATGTAATAATCACATGTAAAATAACTGCATAGTCTTCACTGTATAAATTAAATATACATTAATCATTTTTGATGTTACAAAGGTTATTTAGTCAGGAGCAGTGAGCACTTGTATTTTTCTTTGACAGCATTAGATTTATTATTAGTTTGCTTTCACTTTAAGAATTCCTCCTTTCGGATTTAATATAATATAGGCTACTAATTTAATATATATAGGATTTAATATATATAGGCTATAGGCTACTGATAAACATGCCTTTTCTTTCTCAACTGTTTATGTTAAGACATATGCCTAACCGACTGTGTTTACTAGGATATTCGCTAAAACGCGCATTTTGATGTAATTTTGTCTGTATTTATTCATCCATGCATAAAAAAGCGGAAGAGAGCTCAATTTAGTAGTCGCGTGGCTTCAGATGTGTGCGCAGAAAACTTCTCACACAGCGCTCGACTGTTCCGCAAACTATCCCAAGCGTCTTTTATGCTCACCTTGTGCCTTCCGGCAGTCCTTCAGGATTCGATATAACTTATATCGAGTCCTGATACGCGAGTTTGAACGAGAATGCACGCGCTGGCGGTAATGCATACACGGACATTATGTGAAAATGTGGACAGTGCGTAAGGGTGCCTATTTATACTACGGATGTCGATATTTACGTGTGGCATCGATGCATCGTATCGTCAGACATCGTATCGATGTATCGATCCATATCGATGAATCGTTACACCCCTATAAAATACAGATGATAAATCTCACTCCATATATTCAATGAGAATATCTGGGACAGATTTCTGCATGAATTTCTATTTATAAAATATGTACTATTAAAAACAAGGATAGCCTAATTTTTGTGCCGCTTTTTCTATGTGCTCTTTATGAGTTGCTTTATTACATTAAATGACTTTAATCCTGTTTAATAAAGGTCTGACATGTATGTGCTGTATGTGCACAAAAAAAGCAACAAGAAGAACAAACATTTCACAGTTCATTTGACATTCAGGCCAAGATCAAATATAGTGCCGAACAGGAGGAACCGAGAAAACTTTTTTTTTAAAATTTTACCATTTCTTTCAACTCGGGAACTACAAGTGATGTTTTGATGAAGAGATAAGGTAGTTTTTCCAGCTGTGAACTGCATTACAGTCACAGATTTCCTAAAAAAGTTTTCCTAAAAATGCACTATGCAAGTAATGCACAAGTAAAGCAACACAACATGCATAACCGCATGCATCTGTTTATTCTGTGGAAAGTTTCACAGCATAAATATAACCCACTACAACAACCATCTGAACGCCAGCGATTAACAATTTAAAAAAAACAAACAAAAAAGCAAATAACTTTATTACATTATCAGTGTTGCACTTTTTGTTACAATTTAGTGGTCTGTGAAAAACTTCTACATGCTGCGTTTAAGTAGTTAAATATATAAGTGTACAATACTTGAGTTTTTGCATTTGACGGTTCAACCCAGCACAGAATCTGTGAAAGCTAAATTGTAAAGGTGCAAGCAGTTTTGCCTGACAGTGTATTATTTGACACAAACAAGTGCAAAAAAATTATTTCAGATAAAAACAAAAAACAAATTACACACAAACCTTCACTCACCTTACCGCATTACACACAAATAAGATGGCCTGCACTTTTCTTTAAAGATTTGCTTATTTTTTGTCACTTTTTTTTTTTATGATTACAAGGGTCCGGACAATACAAGCATGTTATTTACTAATTATATCCTCCATAAAATGTTATAAATACAAGTGAAATTCTCAAACAAACCAAAAACATCGGGTCAGGAGTCCTAACCTTAAAGATAAACAAAATAATTTAAAGAATTTCAAAAAAGCAGAGCATAACAAAAATGATAAACATTAATAAAACTCCCAACATTCTATTCAATATCTGTACAGTATATAAACTAAGCATGATATTAAAATGCACATAGTTACATGACTACTTTAAAAGAAAGACAAAATAAGAATATCATTACAAATGACTGTAATAGTCTGTAACTCTCACACTCTACAATTAACTACAATCTTCTGATGAATATTCCCACACAAATATTACATTTGTGCGAGATGTGCCAGGTCTTAAGCATAATCTGACGTGTCATAACAATAGATCAGCTTCTGTTCTGTCAGCATGTACCCCTGGAGCCAGATTCATGAATATCTTAAGAAAACAAAATTAAGAACGTTCTGAGGATAAATAAGAAGTTTAAGTGAAATTATTTCAAATAATAATAATAATAATAAAAACGAAATATCTTAAGGACACATTTATTTCCTTTTTAGGAATAACATGTATAAACAAAATAATAATGACCAAATGATTTGACTTGCTGATTGCATTCTAACCTACTGAGGTTACATTTGTCTTATATTACAACAATTAATTTAATACTTGGTAAATCTTAACAGTAAATGTATTCATCTATTGACTTTTTTTGTCTATTAGCAAAAAAGTGTCATCTCTAAGAGGGTTTTCTGTCCCTTTCTTCATTGATAACCCACAGCATTTCTATCTGGAAAAAACAGCCAAGAAACCGACAAGTACGCTAGACTATAATAAGTAGTAAAATATAGTAGTAGTAATATGCATTACATTTAGCTAGTATTATAATGTTGTAACACTTATATTTTAATATCAAAATGGTCCAATTAATTTATTAATCATCTGTGTAGTCTAAGGTCTAAGAGGTCATTTAGAATAATTTTGAACATTTTTCAAAAATGTTAATTCTTTGTCAGCTTTCTTCAAAAAAATTCTTAAGACAAAAAATAAATAAATAATAATAATAAAGATAATTTTAAAAAATTCTTGCCACGAAGACACAATATTCTTTACATTTCTTAGAAAAGAAAATAAGAAGAAAATAAAAGCTAAGAATTTTATTCTTAAGAACATTTCATGAATCCAACCCCAGTTCTTTAAATGACTGAACAGGCGACTCTCAATGAGTTTTTATTTGATGGTGTATAACATTTTTAAATATGAATGAAAAATGAGCAAAAACAGCTATTATAAGAAGGAAACCATCACTTAGCTTTTACAGTAATACTTTATCTATGAAAAGAAAAAGCAAAGCCATATTGTTCAAATTGAATAAGCTCTTTAAAAATGCCACACCATATTATTATGCAGAAAATCAGGCCCGACTGTTTCCAGATTTTGGAATCACCTCTAAATCACCATGAGGAACCTTCAACTTTTCACTCTTCCGCTCTCTTTTTTCTGCTCTCCCTTCCTCTCAACCTTCTTCACTTCTTCTGGAAGTGCAAACTTCTCCATTGCCTCCCTTTCAAATTCTTCCATCTCATCACCGTCGTCTTCCTCGCTCTCCTCTCCCTCGCTCTCTTCTCCTTCAGCCATGTCCTCCAAAATGTCTTCCACATCTTCCACGAACTCCCTGAACGGCATCTGATCATGAGCGAACACTCCATCCGTGAAGAACTCCTTCACCAGTTTACGGAGCTCTTCTTTGCTGGAGGTCTGGTCCTGATCCTGGAGCTTGTTCAGGTAGGACTGGAGAAGGTTCTCGAAGTCCCGCAGGCCGACGGGAGAGAGTCCCTCGCCTCGAGCGCAGTCTGCCACACCGCTGCATGTCTCCCGCTGCTCGTTATAGTGCTGAATGCGCTCTCTTTGTTTGGTCCAGTAGTTCTCGTGGTCGTAATGGTGATGGGAGGAGGTCTGGTCTGGTGGTCTGTGCCCATGTCTCCCCTTTTGTTGTTTCTCTTTTTCATTGGGACTATTTTTCCCCTCATTTTTATGGTAGTACGCCTTCTTTTTTTTCTTCTCGTTTATTCCATCTCTTGTCCATTCTCTATCTTTTGACTCTCTTTGTTTCCCTCTCCAATGCTTTTCCTCCATTTCTTTTTCATCATACTCTTTTGGAAATTCTTTGTCTCCTTTCCATTTTTTATCGTTGTGTTTTCCGTCACTCTTTTCCTTTCTCCATTCCTTTTCACCTTTCCATTCATCCTTCCTTTTCTCTTTCCGTTCTTTATGGTCATTCCCACCACTTTGTTTATCACTTTTCCAGTCTTTGTTCTCTTTCCGCTCCCCTCTCTGCTTCCTTTCTTTTTCCTCTTTCACTTTCTTGTTCCCAGTATCCTTCCAGTCCTTTTTGTCTCCCCTCTTCTCATCCTGTCCTACATGTTTGTCTTTCTTCTGCTTTTTATCTTCCTTCAATTCTTTTTTTTCCTCCCACTCATTAAAATCTTTCTTGTTTTTACTTTCTTTCCCCATTTTACCATCATCTCGTTTGTTGTCCTTTTTCCACTCTTTTCTCTTCCCTGCTTTACCTGCCTCTTGGTGGCTTTTATATTTTTTCCACTCTTTCGGTTCCTTAGTATGCTCTCCCTCAGTCACTCTCTCCCTCCTTTCCTTGTCATCTTCCTTTTTTTCACTTTTCTTTTTTTTCCATTCTTTGTCTCCCTTGCTTTGTTCCTTCTCCTCACTCTTTTTGCCCCGAGTCTTCCTGGGCTTCATGTCTTGTCTTTCAATCGGTGGTACATCACTTTTGTCTCCAGCAGAGGGCATCCGAGAGGCTGCACTTGGATGCAGAGATTCTGCTCTTCCTTGAAAAAGATAAGATGCAATTTTTTAAATACATTTTTTAATGCACGGATCTTTTTTTTTTTTTCCATTTCATGATTACATTTTTTCATGAGGTTTGTATTTGAAAACAAATCAGTTAAAGAATTACATATGCTACTGGACTTTAATCTGTGAATGTTTTAGATTAAAAAAAAAAATAATACAGAATACATGCGTTTCAATGATGGATCATTGCTGTCAGTGTGTGTGTGTGTGCGCATGTGTGTTTACTGCACCTGTGCTCTGTGTGAGCTGTGAAACTTTAGCTTTCAGATGCTCCAGTTCTCTCTGTAGTAATGGAATGGCCTCCAGCTCTTTCTTTGCTCTCGCACTTTCTTCTTTCATTCTCTCGTTCTCTTGCTCTAGCTCCTTCTGAAGAGCAGGTACTCTATCTAGTTCTCCTTTTATTCTCTCGTACTCCTTCTCCAGCTCTTCTCTCCTCACACGCTCTTTCTCTCCCTCCTCTGTCCGAAACTGTGCTTCTTTCAGTTCACCTTGGTGTTGCTGAGTTTACAAACAGGGCAAAAAATTAACACTGAACTACAGCTAGCAGAACCAGCCTATTTACTTGTAATTTTGTTGCACTCTCTCTCTGACACTTCGTTTGGACTTCATTGAACACAGGTCTGCACATGTCTGTACCTGAAGCTGTGCCTGTAGTACCAATATTTGCTGATCTTCCTTTGCCTGTTTGCTTAAAATATCTGGAGGCTGAAGACCAACAGGCGTGTCTTTGGAGACCTCAGGATTCAGCCACTCCTATCACACACAAATAATCAACAGATGATATAATACGAACTAAAATATAAAGTTTAGGTCTGTAAAGTCACACAAAAAATTATGAGCAAATGAACTGACCTGATTTGTTGGATCTTTCAACTCTCTAACATCCATGTCTGCTTCTGAGAGGAAAACGCAGAAGATCAAGCAAATCAAGCAACATAACATGACCATAATCACAATCACATATCGATCATTAAAAAGTAACAGTGGCCGATGTGATGAAGGTGAGAAAGCTAACATGGAGCCATAACACTCCTGAAGGATCACACAGAAAGCATGCGGTTCCAGCAGTGGCTTAAATTTAACATGCAATGTTCAGAATTAAGTCTGTAGATTAATCTAAAATTTTTCGATTCATTTTCTAAATTTAAGCATCATTCATGTCACTAATTTGATATGGTCTTTCAATCTTCCACCGTTATTCAGAGTGGTTATGCATCTACTTGACATCACAGGAAATTAAGCACGATGCACAAACAATTTCAAATGCAACTGTCATGAGTTATTGTACATCATGAGGCTTAGCTGAAAACACAATTTAGCCAGTGCCCTGATAACAGCAACTCTCAACTTCCCCCCAAAAATGAAGATTCTGTCATCATTTACTCACCCCCAAGTTGTTCCAAACCTTCACGAATTTCTTTCTACTGTTGAACACAAAAGAATATATTTTGATGAATTTAAGTAACCAAACAGTTTCTGGTCCCCATTGACTTCCACAGTGTTTTCCATGTTGTTTCTAGTCAATGTGGACCAGAAACTGTTTGGTTACCCACATTCTTCAAAATATCTTCATACAAATTCATACAGGTTTGGAACAACTTGAGGGTGAGTAAATGACAGAATTTCATTTTTGGGTGAATTTAATTTTTAAGTACAGAAAAGAAAAACTGTATTTAATAAGTATTATTTAAATTATTAAAAATTAAATAAAAACTTACTAATAAATAATACATTTATTACAAAGCATTAAATAAGCTTTTAAAAATGTTACTAACCATATCGAAAATTGTTTTCGTTTTTTTTTTTCTTTTCTTTTTTTTTTGTCTCAACTTAAGGAACCATTGTTTCCACATTCTTGGACATCCTGGATATATCAGGCAGTCTGAGTTAAAAAAAAAAAAAAAAAGTGATTTCTAGTCATTGAAAGTCATGTAAATTAATAATATCTGCCATGGGCATTTTAATACATATTATGAATATACATTTTTCTAGATTTGCCAAGTTCTAAAATATTTTATCCGCTAGAAATTTTGAATAAATAAAAAAAAAAAAATCATTATCCTTAATTCTTATCCAGCAAATCATGAACAAATTGAAAGGCCATTCAAATATTGTTGTGGACAATGAGGGGAATAGGAGTCAAAAGGTTGAGAACCAGTGGTTCATATCCAGCACATATGCAAAAGCGCATGCATGTTTTCAACTGCAGCATCTATTCACCGGCAAATTACTTTGAGCTAAAGCATCTCATTTTTCCATTCAAACTCACACAGACACACAAACACTCTCTCTCTCCCTACCACCATCTGGGTCCACGAGCATACCTGTGGAACAATACACCTCAGTCTCAGACACAGGAACATATTCAAATTCAATCTCTGATATGGGCCACTGCATAGGTACTTTTGGTCACACGCCCCATTTTTATGACACGCCATATTCAATACCAGTTTGTCCAGGAGTCTTAGAAAACTTGATTATAACCATCCTCATAAATGTGTGATAATCTCCATCACACATTTCTGAGTATGTAGTTCATGCAGGCATCTCTAGTGACTGACAACCTAATAACGGCAGCCTAAGAGCATTGTCTTGATCCCATTTATGAAATCAAACAGAAAAAAATGTGATTAGATTTTAAACATGGAAAGTCTTACAAATTCACTCAAACTGTTATGCTGACAGTATATTATCTGTAATGATAGATTTTATATTAAATAAGAGAAATCCCCCCGAAAGAAAAATCCCATAAAAGTCAAAGCATTTTCATGAATGATATCCGACTTTAACTTAAAAATACCCACTTTTTGGTGCTGAATATGGTAATTAAATAAGTATATAGGAAGTATTATTAAAATGATACATTTATTATTTCATTATTTGAATATGCTAAGTACCTGATTTCTAATGAATCTAGATAATACAGCGATCTGTATTTGATTTAAAAGAGTGTGAAAACAGGGGCCTCATGCTTACCAGAGAAGAAAATGGTTCCTAGCCCTAGAAGAATGACAGCTGCAAGGATGCACTTGTTCAAAGAAAAGACTGTTTCCTGTTCTCTCGGAGGTGGTTGAAAATCTTCCTCCTCCCCCTCTTCATCATCTTCTGCTTCTGTCTTGTCCAAAGAGCCCAGGTGGGAGATTTTTCTCTTTCGTAAACCATCCCCCTCCTTTCCATCCGTTTCCAACACTTCTTTAGACTCTACACAGAAAAAGGGCACATGATTATTGGGGGATATTCAGTAGGTTAAAAAAAGCATGACCTGTACACAAATACACAATCCAAACAATTGCATTTCACATAAAAAAGCAATCTTTTTGTAGCTGGTTAGTGCAGCAGCCAAATTACTATTTTTAAAAAAATTTAAAGGGCTATTACGGATGCTTCATATGTGTGTGTATAATAGCTAACATTATTTGCAAGAGTAGGACATGATAAACATCCCTTTTTGGCCCTGGAACATATTATTAACCGTTCACTGTTCTCTGATTGTAGGGTTAGGGTTGTCTGGTGAATCGAGGCTCTATTTCTGGAACCCATGGTCATGTCATCAGTCTGGTCTGCAGCTACAGTGATCTAGCATTAACTCTTCTCACTGCACATTAGCAAGACGACTAAAACATGCCACACTGAAGCGCTTCCAAGCTAAATTATCATTTACAAAACCGTCCAAAACCTTGGGGTCAGTAAGATGAATGAATACATTTTTTCAGCAAGGATGCATTATATTGATCAAATGTGACATTTATAATGTTACAGAAGATTTCCATTTCAAATCAATGCTGTTCTTTTGAACTATTTATTGTTCAAAGAATTCTAAAAAAAAAACAAAAAAAAAAACTCACGTTATGTTTTATGTTTTCAACATAATGGTAATAATAAGAAATCAGCATATTAGAATGATTTCTGAAGGATCATGTGACACTGAAGACTGGCATAATGGTTGCTGAAAATTCAGCTTTGCCGTCACAGGAATAAATTACATTAAAATAGAAAACATTAATATTTTACTTTTTGACTTTTGAATTGTAGTGTATGCTGATGTGCTACAAAAGCTACTTAAAGTACCACGGCCAAAGTCTTACTATGATTTTGCTGTAGCCTCATTCCTTTCTTCAAATTACATAAAAAGAGCACACATTTAATAAAGACAAACACTGACACACCATCTTACATCATTTTAAAAAAATTGGAAAAAAAAAACAGAATACAATCTGTAGTTTTTTTCAGGATGCAGGTACAAGCAAATGTTCATCTTAAGAAAGAGCGAAAAACAGAGAGAATGATGCATCTGAAATGTAATCAGAGCGGACACGCTGTATTTATATATAAATAAAGAATAATAAACAGAAATCAAGCCGTCAAGCTGCCACCAGTCATCATGCAAGTCCATCATTATTTCATAACAGACCTGCCAGCAGCAGTTATGCTCCGTTTTGACCACCACTTTAAAAATATATACAGTACATAAAACATAGAAGCAAACAACAAGTATTATAAACAAACTCCTTTAAAATCAAATAAACACAAAATAGATTATAAATACACCGAGGAAAAAGTATGTCACAATATCACTTCTGCTGTACAGTCTCTCACCTTCAGTTATGGTTTTTCTCAGAGAATCCTCGTCTGATTTAAACCAGTCTATTTCCTGACAAACTGAAGCAGGAAGTGGACTTGATCCAGAGGTAGGACTTATGTGAGTGTATGAGTCAGAGAATGATTCGACATCAGTGCTGGGAGAAACTGGGCTCTCTGAGTGGCCTTGATCCCCATGGTCAGGGGTCCAGGAGCTGACGTCCTCAGCAGTGGCACTGACAGAGCTGGGCTCTTCACTGACATGTGCTGCATTCAGCTGGGCCCGACCCTCACTCGTCTCTGGAGACGTTACCTGGTTAATATTTTGCTAGATTTAGTTACTATTTTACATTAAAGGAACAGGAAAAAAGGATGATGAAATGACAGAATTGTAATTTTTTTTTGTTGTTATGGCCAAAAGGATTTTAGATCATCTGAAGCATTTATTCGAGGAAGGACACCTGAGATAGCTCTGGAGGCTCTGACCCATGGGTGAGAGCTGGGTCAGACTGCAACTGTGTGGATGTCTCTGTCGGCTGGTGAGCAGATGCTTCAGAGGAGTGCTTCTCTAGGTGACTGTGGGTCTCCGGTGAGGCCTCAGGTGCTTTTGAGAGCTGCTCCTCGATCTTAAGACCTTCAGCTACTGGACCAACATTCTCAACTCCAGACACCTGCACATGGAAAGTGCCTCTGTCAAACAAACTTCATCTCTTCTATAATGTTATCACTGATTTGATATCCGACAAAGTGAGAATTCATCTAGTTTAAAAAATGTGCCTATATTTGAATTAATGCTGATTGATGGATTTTCAAAAACGTTCATACCTTTTTCAAGAAAAGATTCCATTTAATAAAAATAGTACTTTTTTTGAGTTTAGTGTGGTTAGTTTACTACACAAACCTTGCCTTGTTCTTTTTTCAGTATGGTATCAGGACATCAAGTAATAACATGTATATGCATCCGAAAGCCAAATAAATAAGCTTTCCATTGATGTATGGTTTGTTGGGATAGGACAATATTTGGCCGAGATACAACTATTTGAAAATCTGGAATCTGAGGGTGCAAAAAAATCTAAATACTGAGAAAATCGCCTTTAAAGTTGTCCAAATGAAGTTCTTAGCAATGCATATTACTAATCAAAAATTAAGGTTTGATATATTTACGGTAGGAAATTTACAAAATATCTTCATGGAACATGATCTTTACTTAATATCCTAATGATTTTTGGCATAAAAGAAAAATCGATAATTTTGACCCATACAATGCATTTTTGGCTATTGCTAAAAATATACCCAAACGACTTAAGACTGGTTTTGTGGTCCAGGGTCACATATTTCCCCCGTATGAGTGTATATATTACTATTACTATATTGCTTCCATAAATTATATTATGTAAATACTGCACCTATATGATGTGTATTCAAGTCACTGCATGTATGAATTGCATTTTTTATTTTATAAATTGACACTTAATAAATTGCCTGAACGTAACGTCACTGAAGCTTGTATCAAAATATGTATGCAATAACATGATCATTTTCAAAGCAGAGACTTTCATCCTGGCCTCTGACACGGACACACACCTTTACCTCTGGGGTAAGAAGAGTCCAGCTGTTGCCATTGGCACTGTTGCTGTTTTCAGACATTGCCCCTTAGTGGCTCCGTCCAGTAACTGAAAAACGTGAGCACTTCAGAAAGTCATCAGTTCCATTTCAGTGACGAATCAATAGAAAAATACAACAAAATTTAGTACCAATCTGTATTGGGGGTTGAGCTTCATTGCATGAGTTCAAAATGTTAACATGTAGAGACGTAAAGGATATGTAAAGGACCCTGAACATGTACAGAACTACTGTGTTGGCATACATCACATATGCTGTACACATAAGACATATCATAATGGAAAGGACAAAGTTTATATAATAGAGAGGGTGGTGAGTGAGTTCAATGAGGACGGTATCTCCACTACAGGCCTCTCTACTAGTGAAAAAAAAACACGGGAGTAAAGGAGAGAGTGAAAAGCTGGAGCTGCAGTGAAAGAGTTTTCACTTCATTAGTATTATCCTTGTGTTGTCCCATAGGTTACACCAACGGTTCCCTGGCTGGCAAATATTTTGGCAAAGAACTGTGTAACTAAGGATGTCAAGTGAAACAGCACTAAAGGCATTAATGCAAGAGGAGAATGGTGGAGTTTTACACATACTGACAACAGTGAAAAAATCAAAGCAATGGACCTACTGCTCACTACCAGAAAACCAAGACAGACGTGAGCTACTTTTCCAAGTGGGTCAAAGAAGAACAGCCATTTCAATGAATTGCAGCACCTTATTCAAACATTCTTCCATTTGTGCTAAATCTTTCGAATACTAAGTAGATCTGAATATTAAATAGATCTGGCATAAACTGAGCAAGAATGGGATCCCGTTAAGCCGAAATGGTGAATCTTCCATGAGAATTTCAAAAATGAAAGAGGCCTAATCACCGACGTGCCACTTTGTGACACACTTCACTCTTTAATAAGGATCTTTTTCCTTTCGCGGTAATTTGGGTCTGCTAATAATGTGGCTCCCATGAGAGTTTTTTTGAATGTAGCCATGAGCCATGAGAGTTGTTGAGGATATAGAAAATGGATAACAGCTAAAAATAACACAGAAAGAAGCACAAAGTGCACCTAACTGAACTGGTATTATCCGAGATAATTCTGTTACAAAAACTGAAAATACTGATGTATTAATGATGTAATATTTTAAATATTTAAAAAATTACACAAAATAATTATAAATATAGTATAAAAAATGTATTATTTTATTTAATTATATGACATTTTAAATTGACACAGACAAGAGCTTAGCTTTATTATGCTCCCTAAAATATTGACAATATAGCAGCTCCAGCTGCAACTTTTTGAAAGCTTTTTATGATGTTGGAATGCTTCCATATTAATGTAGGCTAATACAATTATAAAGTATTTTTTTAGCGAAAATGATCATATTATATACGATAATAAAATGATTGATTATTTTACAGAAGCAACAACAACTGTAATATGGAATTTTAGGGGAATCTACGATTACCATGGCAAATGTGTGTTAATAAACTATTAAACCAGGTAAGGCCAGACCGTTTTGAAATGTAAAGGAAAAGCTTCATTAGGTCCTCTGTCAGTTTGATCTCTCCCATCACCTCCTCCAATATAAACTGCCCATACAAGGACACATCTTAACGTCAAGCAGTTATTACTTCCATGCATCATATACGCATCGCATGTTCTCTTGTGTGTTTGTATGTTACACGGATGTTGGACGTCTGTGTACATCTTAAGCAGATGCAGTTCACAAAATGGGAGTGTTCAAAATAAAATCCGCAGGCAAATGTCGAAGTCGCACTTTACATATACACACATGCTTGCGTGCACACGCCGGAAATACAGAAAAAAACAAACCCCAAGTTTCATGTACAGGCGATCTGAGTTTGGTTAAATACGAAAATTGTCTAAAAGTATTAAAGAGAAGCATACCTGGTAACTCTGAAGCACCTTCCGCCTTTAATACCCCTTTAATTGCCACGCTCTCGTTGTCTTGTGCAAAGTTGCAAACTCAAGTGTGCAGTTTTGTTGACAGGTCTTCGGTCTCTAAAGTTTTCCACCAATCAGCGCTTGAGTTTAGCAATGTCCCGCCCACAGACTGTTGTTCTCCACCAATGACAGCATACTTTATCTTCCGCCCTTCAAAGCACACTTTTTTTTGTGTGACTGCCGAACACAGGTGACATGAAAATGAGGAGCATGTGCTCAAACAAAGGGGAAAAGGATCCCAACAAACCTCTATCCGCATGTATTAGACTTGGTGTTTAAGTCTAGTTACGTAAAATATGGAGAGGGTGTTCTATTACTTTTCCTCTAAGCAAGACTTTAATATAGGCTAGTATCAATTATGTGCTTTATGTTATTTGATTTTTTTATAGATTCAAAACCAATTTCAAGGGCTGTTTGGAACAAAATATGGTTTTGAGTCACTCCAATTGCTCTGATGAATAAAAGTTTTCCTAATAACAGGAAATTATGTTTGTGATGCTCTTCAATTGTTTATGTTTATAGTATCCTTATTTGGATTTATGTTGTTCCTTATGTGTCTTGAGAAGCTGCTAAACTGTTCTGTATTTTTAAAATTAATTAAAAAAAAAACTCACTATAATTGTATAGTTATCATTTATAAAACGAGACTACACTTTTGAAAGTGTGTCCTGACTCCTGAGCCATATGTAGGGACCCAGTTTTTTTTATCCCATTGCTTATATCACTTTTTGACTTGTGTCGGTAAGCAATCCCTTAGAAGATGCAATCTGAATAGTAACATAAAACCAGACCTTTAGCAACTGTATAAAAGGCCATATCAACCACCCAAAACACACTAGCATTGCGGTGAAGAGTTTTGCATGAGCAAGCAAAACCTACTTTTTTTTTTTTAGAAACTACAGATAAGTGACTCTAGACTGGCCTGTAGTGTAATGCCTCAGTTTACAATAGGCTATTTATTTGCATAGAGCATCTGCTATGCTACTTTTCCAGCATGTATTATAACCCATTTTGTATACATTTGTGTAAAATGTTTATTATGTATTCTAATAAGCATATTTATGGCATACTGTATTGTATTCACATAAGTACTTTGAGGTATTACTAGTAATAATAGTGTCTTTACATAGAAACCATTAGCCCTATATTTTACGGTCACAGTTTGTACCCTAAATGTTAAGCCATTTAAAAATCCTCGGGACCTTTTAGCTATTTAAAAAGAATTACACAATGTTTTTTTTTTTTTTTTTTTTTTTTTTGCACACAATTATGTGCTTTATGTTATTTGATTTTTTTATAGATTCAAAACCAATTTCAAGGGCTGTTTGGAACAAAATATGGTTTTGAGTCACTCCAATTGCTCTGATGAATAAAAGTTTTCCTAATAACAGGAAATTATGTTTGTGATGCTCTTCAATTGTTTATGTTTATAGTATCCTTATTTGGATTTATGTTGTTCCTTATGTGTCTTGAGAAGCTGCTAAACTGTTCTGTATTTTTAAAATTAATTAAAAAAAAAACTCACTATAATTGTATAGTTATCATTTATAAAACGAGACTACACTTTTGAAAGTGTGTCCTGACTCCTGAGCCATATGTAGGGACCCAGTTTTTTTTATCCCATTGCTTATATCACTTTTTGACTTGTGTCGGTAAGCAATCCCTTAGAAGATGCAATCTGAATAGTAACATAAAACCAGACCTTTAGCAACTGTATAAAAGGCCATATCAACCACCCAAAACACACTAGCATTGCGGTGAAGAGTTTTGCATGAGCAAGCAAAACCTACTTTTTTTTTTTTAGAAACTACAGATAAGTGACTCTAGACTGGCCTGTAGTGTAATGCCTCAGTTTACAATAGGCTATTTATTTGCATAGAGCATCTGCTATGCTACTTTTCCAGCATGTATTATAACCCATTTTGTATACATTTGTGTAAAATGTTTATTATGTATTCTAATAAGCATATTTATGGCATACTGTATTGTATTCACATAAGTACTTTGAGGTATTACTAGTAATAATAGTGTCTTTACATAGAAACCATTAGCCCTATATTTTACGGTCACAGTTTGTACCCTAAATGTTAAGCCATTTAAAAATCCTCGGGACCTTTTAGCTATTTAAAAAGAATTACACAATGTTTTTTTTTTTTTTTTTTTCTTTATTGCACAATTTTCTCAAACGGTGTCAGTTAAAACATGTTTGAATACCACCGGCATGTTGACAGGGATGTGATCTATATGCCTTATACGACGCCTATGTGATGCGCTGCTTTAGAGTACTAATAGTTGTGACTTGTGAGGCATGAGTGTTTATGCCTGACTGTGTGTGAAGAGACCTGGATTCAGGCCAAAGCATCAACACATCTGTGATCAATCATCCACCTGCTCAAAGGCTCTGAAAAAGGAAACATCATAAATATCACTGTACAGCGGTTTTAAATATCACCTGACGATTAACCTACTAATTTAGTAATATGAGAATTATTCAGACTTCAAAATATAGTCACTAGAATTAGTTTGCGGTTGTCTAGCGCGCCCTCTAATGGTAACATCACTACATTGCACACACTTATACAAGGTCAGGCAGGGCTAAATGTTTGTGCGCCCTTGTTTTGTTTCAATAAATGTTTGTTTTGTTCAAACTTTAAAATCGTATAGTTGAAACCTCATTCATCTTTTTTACTTTTTTGTTATTAGTTTGTTAATGATAACTAAGTCAATGGGGACCAGAAACCATTTGGTTACCAACATTCTTCAAAATATCTTCTTTCGTGTTCAGCA